GGGAATGGGGCCCTTTCTATGTCCAGCTGTCCTTTGTCAACAATGAATTGTCACTGTTTTTTGTGTTGAATATATGCCATATGGTAATTTTTGGACTTCATAGGTATCTCAAGCCATTTGCACATGTTGTCCTGCAACCAGAATGTCGGCACCCTATATATAGAAAGGAGCAAACGAGTGATATTTTATGGAGCAGGCTAGCAGGCGGAGCCCATGACTTACATCATAGGAGCCTACACAACACAAAACACGGTTGCTGTAGGTAGGTTTTGTTTCATTTGTTTTTTATCTTATACAGTCATATCTCATGTTGCGTTTGCTTCAGCTTGAGCGTTTTCAGGTTGCGTCCTGCAACGACCTGGAAGTACTGGAAAGGGTTACTGTTATGTACTGAAGTTCTCACCCTGGCCACCAGGAGTATTGTGTATGTAGTTTTCACTCAGGTCCACGTCAGTTATTTTAGGCGGGAAACCCTGGGCTGTTGTTGCTACAATGTTGACAGCCGGCTGCCTATAAAAGCAGGCCGGCCGAGCTGTTTGCTGTTCAGTTCTGTTCCAGCTTACAAATAAAGAGCTGCTTTGGAGATATCGCTGCGTCGTCTGATATGTTCGCCCACAACTTAACAGTTGCTTCTGTGTTTCGCCGCTCGCGCATGCGCAGCCGCCCAAAATGACGTCACGCACATATGCAGAAGCGGCGAATCGCGACCCGCGCACGCGCAGATGCAGGTTGCGTTCTGCTCAGGTTGCGAACAGGGCTCCGGAACGGATCCCATTCGCAACCAGAGGTGTCACTGTATTTTGGAAATGTACATCCAGTTTGTTTTTTCCTCTAGCCCTGAGCTAGAGCTTGTTTAGCTTATACGTAAATCCGACACTGGATTTACAGTTCTATGATTTAGCAAAGATGGAGGACGCCTGCGAAGGAGGCATCTCGTCTGAAGGAAACTGACACCCCCCTTCTTGAGCAGTTGCCCATTTTTACTTTGCTTTAAAGTCCTAAAGTGAATCGCCCGCTTGCCAGGGGAATGCACAAACAACAACAACAACAACACCCCCCGAGTGAACACCCAGGCAGGCAGCCTGCTTGCTCTCGCCATTACCTGGGAATCAATATCGAGGCATCCTGAGCGCGGTAACCGCAAACGCCCCATTTTCTCTTGGAATCAATCCCTTCTAATGCAGAGAGCACAGGGAAAACAAACTCAAGAAGGTCAATGGCAACTTGCTCTCAGCATCTCTGGATCCCTAAGCATGTCAGCAAACAAAAGGGAGGTCGTCACGGCGACGGTATTTGGCCCAGCGGCCGAATGCATGTTTGGAAAGGGAGTCGCCGAAGATTCGTTCCGCGGTGGTGTTGGGAAAGACTTCTGCCTGAAGCCTCAGGAAGCAGCTGCTGGCCAGTGTGGGCAACACTAAACAGCCTTGGTCCAGTATACCTGAAGGAGCGTCTCCACCCCCATCGTTCTGCCCGGACACTGAGGTCCAGCACTGAGGGCCTTCTGGCGGTTCCCTCACTGTGAGAAGCCAAGTTACAAGGAACCAGGCAGAGGGCCTTCTCGGTGGTGGCGCCCGCCCTGTGGAAGCCCTCCCACCAGATGTCAAAGAGAACAACAACTACCAGACTTTTAGAAGACATCTGAAGGCAGCCCTCTTTAGGGAAGCTTTTAACACTTGATATATTACTGTATTTTAATATTGTGTTGAAAGCCGCCCAGAGTGGCTGGGGAAACCCAGCCAGACAGGCGGGGTATAAATAAATTATTATTATTATTATTATTATTATTATTATTATTATTATTAACAGGCTGGGCTAGGGACCAATGCTTGCGTCAAGGTACCCAAAAAGAGAAGAAGAGCCTGGGGGATCATTCACTCCAGCACCCTGATCTCACAAGAACCTAGGTCTCTAGATAGACTGCTCTTGGCCTGGAGGTTCCATCAGGAACGCCTGACTCCTGGATCACGCCAAGGGCCCATCTTGTTCTCCCAGGGAAGCAGGTGCCCCAATGAGAAACTTCCAAGCAGTCCCCGCAAGAGCACTATCCCCTCTTGTGGTTTCTAGCAACTGGTACCCAGAAGCATTGCCACCTTCGGTGGTGATGGCAGAGCACAGCCATCATGGCCAGTAGCCATCAATAGATGGTGGGCACCACTGTTTCCTGCTGGAGGGAGATCCATCGTTTAACTACGCAATGCTGGGGTGCAGAATGAATAGGGCCGTGCTCTCGATCTGGATGAAGTCCAAATCCTCAACCCAAATCAGGGCAATTTGGGTGGATCCTGGCTTCGGCCAAATCTGGTTGAGACAGCGCCGTTGGCCTGCCCAGAGTGATCCGGGGCTCTCAAAAGGTGGGAGAGGGAATTGCAAGTCCCCTCTGCGAAGAGCAACACGGGGCCCTTTGCAAAAGGGCTTTGAAACAGCCCTGCACTGAGCCTTTACACAAAACAAATGAAATACCGTGAAAATCCCTGAAATGAGAAGTAATCGACTAGAAATACTATCTTATAGAATTAAACTAAATAACAAAAATCAAAAAGTTTAAGGAAAAAATTAGAAAAACCTAGAATTGAACAAAGCCTTAACGAGACCTCGCCTGGAGTACTGTGTCCAGTTCTGGGCACCACAGTTCAAGAAGGACACTGACAAACTGGAACGTGTCCAGAGGAGGGCAACCAAAATGGTCAAAGGCCTGGAAACGATGCCTTATGAGGAACGGCTAAGGGAGCTGGGCATGTTTAGCCTGGAGAAGAGGAGGTTAAGGGGTGATATGATAGCCATGTTCAAATATATAAAAGGATGTCACATAGAGGAGGGAGAAAGGCTGTTTTCTGCTGCTCCAGAGAAGCGGACACGGAGCAATGGATCCAAACTACAAGAAAGAAGATTCCACCTAAACATGAGGAAGAACTTCCTGACAGTAAGAGCTGTTCGACAGTGGAATTTGCTGCCAAGGAGTGTGGTGGAGTCTCCTTCTTTGGAGGTCTTTAAGCAGAGGCTTGACAACCATATGTCAGGAGTGCTCTGATGGTGTTTCCTGCTTGGCAGGGGGTTGGACTCGATGGCCCTTGGGGTCTATTCCAACTCTAGGATTCTATGATTCTATGAGATGCCGGCTACAAACCTCGTTTCACTGAACGATTCAGTTTCCTCAGAAGGAAATAGAGAAATCATAAACCTTAAATGATTTTAAACAAGAACATGGCTGAAACGCTCCCCTGAGTTTACAAAAAAGGTTTGAAAACCTAAATGGCAATTTTTGAACAGGGCTGAAACGCTCCTTTGGTCTAGATGTTACTGCTGATGTTAAAGACTGTTCTTGAGTTTGTTTAAAATCTAAAACAGCTTATCTTGCATTCCTTTCTTTGAATTTGTGCTATGTAGGTTTTTTAAATACTTTTTGTAAAGGCAATACTAGAGTTTTCACAGCCGAGTCCTCAACTCCTTATTACTATAGCTTGGCTTTCTTTAAATAAGGCTATGTCAAAAATCTCGTTTTCACAGTATTTCATTTGTTTTGCGTAATTTCTCGGTTCCGTGACTGTCCTTTTTCCTACTGCACTGAGCCTTGGCTCTGCACGCCCTTCTTTCCCAAGCAGGGGAACACACCTGCAAAGCCAAAGCAAGCAGGATTGAACCCTCTGCTCACCAGGGTTCGATCCTGCTAGTTGCAGGGGTCTGCTCCAATGCATTCCCCACAGGTTATCAAATAGCAGGACTTTTTTCCTCCCTTTTTTTTGAGAACTTGGCTTGTACCTTATCATATCACAGAATTATAGGATTCTAGACTTGGGAGGGGGTCCTCCATTTAGCCCAACACCCTGAAAAGCAAGAATCACAACTAACCATGAGAGATGGCCATCCAACCCCTGCCTAGAAACCTCCCATGGAGTCCACCGCCTTCTGAGGAGACCGTCCCGCTGTCAAATGGCTCTTAATGCATCAGCCGCACCTGTGAGATTCCTACACATCACAAGGATGTTCAGTTCCGATCAGTTCAATTCCAAATGAATCTGAACTTCAAAGTCTAAAATCCCTGGTAGAGGACAAGGATCCTGAGATCACGTTAAGGGTAGCCAAATTCTGTGTGATTGCCATAAAACTTGGGGAACAAACTGTGCTGTCATAACGATTAAGGCCTTAAATGATAAATTTAGGTTATATTGTAGTGACTAAGTTTTAACTTATATGTTTTTAAACTGTTGCTATACAGTCACGGGACGCAGGTGGCGCTGTGGGTTAAACCACAGAGCCTAGGACTTGCCGATCAGAAGGTTGGCGGTTCGAATCCCCGCGACGGGGTGAGCTCCCGTTGCTCGGTCCCGGCTCCTGCCAACCTAGCAGTTTGAAAGCACAAAGTGCAAGTAGATAAATAGGTACCGCTCCGGCGGGAAGGTAAACGGCGTTTCCGTGCGCTGCTCTGGTTCACCAGAAGCGTCTTAGTCCTGCTGGCCACATGACCCAGAAGCTGTACGCCGGCTCCCTCGGCCAATAAAGCGAGATGAGCGCTGCAAACCCAGAGTCGGTCATGACTGGACCTAATGGTCAGGGGTCTCTTTACCTTTTATACAGTCACACCTTGGGTTACAGCCTCTTCAGGTTGCGTTTTTTCGGGGTACGGAATCCCGAAACCTGGAAGTATGGGTTACTTCCGGGTTTCGGCGGTTGCACATGCGCAGAAAAGCTAAATCATGCTTTGCGTATGCACAGAAGCGCTAAATTGCAACCAGCGCATTTGCAGGTGCGGGTTGCGAACGCTGCAGGTTGCGAACGTGCATCCCGCACAGATCACATTCACAACCTGAGCATCCATTGTATCTGTATTGTCCCTGTTATATCTAATTGCAAATCCAAATGTATCTCTGTTGTGTTTTATGACTTCCTTGATAGTGTATGTGAGCTGGTCTGTGACCGAAATAATAAATTCGAAAGGAACCCCTCCGTGCCACACCCACCCACCCACCCACCCACCCACCCACACCCACACACCTGGCCCTTACCTGATGAAGACTATGACCCCGACCCTTGCAATGTCTTTGTGCAGGATTTTCCAGGACTCTCGGATCAGGGCCTTCTGAGACTCTGAAAGGGAGAGCCGCTCAGGGTTTTCCCCGCACTCAGTCTCCTTGCTCAAGTCCAGCCCGCCTTCCACAAACGACCCTCTCTTTTCCACGTCAAAAGTTGGCTCCGGTGTGACGCCTGGTCCAGATAAGGCACACCCCATCTTTCTCTGGGGGGACGGATTCTGGCACCCTGTGTCCTCCTTTCCCTCCACGCCAGCTAAAGCAAACAGAATTTTTTTATTTCAAAGATAGCTGGAGACGGAACAAACAGGCATTAATTGAATCAGCTCTCAGGGGAGAAGGGAGAAGGGCTGGTGATGGTTTCGCGGCACACGTTGTTCCCGTTGAAAATTGCACGCGAGCAGAAAACGGTCCACCAGGCCCACTTTGTTTCACAGAATTGGAAGGGACCCTGAGGGTCATCTAGTCCAACCCCCTGCAATGCAGGAATCTTTCCCACAACTCTGAGATTAAGAGCTTCAGGCTCTGCCCACTGAGCTACCCCACCTAAGCTAGTTTCAGTTATATTCCTATCCAGACCTCTCCCTGAAGAGCGGGGGGCAGACTCTCCCCACCCCACCCCAGATAACCTCATCACGACCTTGTAAGGTAGGCCAGCTTGACTGATGGCAGCGACTCAGGACATTCAAGGGCTGGACAGGGATTTGAACCCAGAGCTCAGGTTAAAAACACTCATGCACACACTCAAACGAATGAAAAGGGTAGATGTGCGTGGAGGCTGTGAAAAGGGCAAATGCTAGGGATCATTATGAAAGGAACCGACTATAAAACTGCTGTTATCATAATAAAGCTGTTATGCAAATCTATAGTGCATCTGGAACACTGTGTAGCGTTCTGGTCGCCTTGCCTCAAAATGGATATTGTAGAGTTGGAAAAGCGAACCAGAACGACCCACTTCCCTGTGAGAAAAGGTTGCTGCCTTTGGAACTTAGAATAGGGTTACCAGACGTCCCCGGTTACCGGGGACAGTCCCCAGATTTGCAAATCTGTCCCCGAACAAAATCCGTCCCCAGAATGTCCCCAGATTTGCAAATCTGTCCCTGGGGAACATTGCAGTGGCAGCCTCAGCAGCCCGGAGCCAGCCTGGTAGCGCAGTTGGCTCTGGCTGGCTTCAGGAGCTGCTTGCTGCAATGGTGCCCGCCATTTTTCCTGCGCCACGGCAGTGAGCAGCTCCTGAAGCCAGCCAGAGCCAACTGCGCTACCAGGCTGGCCCCTCCTGGGCAACGACCGACTGCCCGTGACTCCTGAGCCTTCCCTGATCTGTCAAAACAAAGGGGGAAGGAGATTGGGGAAGGCTTGGGAGTCACGGGCGCAGGGCGCACCGTTGCCCAGTCTCTGCGCATTTATGTTTCACAGGGTGCGAAAGAAGGGCTTTGCACCTTTATACAATATGCATGTGTGCCTGGGCCCAGGGTGTTTTGCCTCGCCATCCCCACTACTGACTCCCTGTTGCTAAAGGTAAAGGTAAAGGTACCCCTGCCTGTACGGGCCAGTCTTGACAGACTCTAGGGTTGTGCGCCCATCTCACTCTAGAGGCCGGGGGCCAGCGCTGTCCGGAGACACTTCCGGGTCACGTGGCCAGCGTGACGAAGCCACATCTGGCGAGCCAGCGCAGCACACGGAAACGCCGTTTACCTTCCCCGCCAGTAAGCGGTCCCTATTTATCTACTTGCACCCGGGGGTGCTTTCGAACTGCTAGGTTGGCAGGCGCTGGGACCGAGCAACGGGAGCGCACCCCGCCGCAGGGATTCGAACCGCCGACCTTTCGATCGGCAAGCCCTAGGCGCTGAGGCTTTCACCCACAGCGCCACCCGCGTCCCCTTGACTCCCTGTTGCTACTCAGATTCAAAAAAGGAAAAAAAAAGTGTCCCCGGATTCATTGGGAAAAAAATCTGGTAACCATAACTTAGAATCAGAGTTGAGGACCCTGAGGGTCATCTAGACCAACCCGCTGCAATGCAGGAGTCTCAACTCAAGCATCCATGACAGATGGCCATCCGACATCTGCTTCTAAACCTACGAGGAAGGGGAGGCCACCAACTACGGGAGGCAGTGGAAGACAGGAGGGCCTGGCGTGCTCTGGTCCAGGGGGTCACAAAGAGGCGGAAACAGCTAAACAACAACAAGTTTTTATACTGTATTTTATGCTGCTTTTATAATTAAGTGTTTTAAATTTGTTATTAGGCACCCTGAGCCCGGTTTTTTGAACTGGGAAAGGGCGGGGTATAAATAAATAAATAAATAAATAAATAAATAAATAATAATAATAATAATAATAATAATAATGTGCATATTTTAAGTTGGTTTCTCTTCTCATTGTAAGCAGCTCCTAGATTGTACGCAGAGCGGCGTGGGAATGCCTAAACTCAGTAAACGCAGGGTGCACATTGCAATTAACAGCGTTCCTTGCACTTCGACAAAGAGCTTGAGGTTTTGCAGTGGGGGGCAGGCGGTGGATGGGAAACGGTTGGCGCCAGCGGGGGGGCACTTCTTGCCTCCCACCCACCAGCTCTGCTGGTACACATGGCCACTTGGGAGCCGCTGCCAGGCTGCGAACGGAAGCCTCTGAGCTGTTGGAGGAGATCCATGGAGAGGCGCCGGCAAAGTGTTTGGCTGAAGCGGTGCCAGTTCCCACCCGGAAAAGTACGAGGGTGGGTGAGATAGACCGGGGAATCTCTGAGGACCCAAAGGGAGCATGGAGATGGGGATGGGGATGGGGGGACCCCAAAGCTCGTAAGGAGCATCTCAGGCCCCGAGTTTATGGGGTGCAAACTTAGGGTGGACTCTGGCGATGTTACAAGGTGGGCCCTGGAGTTGTTGTTGTTTAGTAGTGTCCGACTCTTTGTGACCCCCTGGACCAGAGCACGCCAGGCCCTCCTGTCTTCCACTGCCTCCCGCAGTTTGGTCAAACTCATGTTTGTAGCTTTGAGAACATGTCCAAGCATCTCGTCCTCTGTCGTCCCCTTTCTCCTTGCGCCCTCCATCTTTCCCAACATCAGGGTCTTTTCCAGGGAGTCTTCTCTTCTCCTGAGGTGGCCAAAGTCTTGGAGCCTCAGCTTCAGGATCTGTCCTTCCAGTGAGCACTCAGGGCTGATTTCCTTCAGAATGGAGAGGTTGGATCTTCTTGCAGTCCATGGGACTCTCAAGAGTCTCCTCCAGCACCAGAATTCAAAAGCATCGATTCTTCGGCGATCAGCCTTCTTTGTGGTCCAGCTCTCACTTCCCATACATCACTACTGGGAAAACCATGGCTTTAACTATACGGACCTTTGTCAGGCAAGGTGATGTCTCTACTGGGCCCTGGGAGACGGAGGTTAATTGGGGAGGGCAGACCAGCCTTGCTCAGAGCGCCTTTGCTGTGAATGTGGAGCAAACTCTTAATATTTTTTGAAGTTATTGCTAAGGGTGCTCTTGTGCACCTGGAGATTCAAACCCTTTCTCTCCCTGCCCACCTGGAGACTTCAGATCAGGCCTGGAGGTCTGGCAGCCCTAAACCACATCCTTTCTCCCCAGGTGTGCCCCTCCTCAGCCCTCGTCTCTCTGCGCATTCTTGCGTGCTGTTACCTCCATGGAAGGTGTGGCTGTGCCTTTTCCCAAACTGGGACTGAGTTGTTGTTGTTTAGTCATGCTGGCCATGTGACCCGGAAGCTGTACACCAGCTCCCTCGGTCAATAAAGCAAGATGAGTCGGGCAGGTCTGGACCTAATGGTCAGGGGTACCTTTACCTTTACCTTTAGGTAGGAGATAAAGGAGGAAATGTAGACACACAACCTGAGATCTCTAATATAATCACTTTTTTCAAATGGTCTGGGGTTTTTTTTTTAACTAACAGATTAACCAACTCAATTTTTTTGTTGATTAACAACCAGTCGAAGCCAGGAAGGGAGCAATCTTTTGTTTCTGGTGTGTTAATGTAAGGAATAGTGAAAGAGAAATATTCTTAAAGAATGGATACCTTTTGTTGGTGATTATTAACAGCCAGGACCGTTTTTTAAGCCGAGGGGTGGGGACTTCTGTCCAGTTCGTTTACATCTCGGGCTCGGCGCTGCACTTAAGCTGCTCCCGGATCGCAGCCCAGGCGCCCTCCCACGCCCTCTAAGCACCCGGCGCCCCTTACCTGTCCCCGTCGGGGGAACTCCGCGGGACAGGAGTACCAGCAAGATCAGGTGGCTCGCCAGCTGTGCCATCCTCGCCCGGCTCCGGGATCGCACTGGGCGCCTCCCTGCTCCTCTGGCAGACTCCGCAGGGAGGCGGCAGGCAGCGAGGTGGCCTTGCGCCCGCCCCGATTGCGCCCGCCAGGTGCCCAGGCAGCCCCGGAGGGAGAGGACGCGAAGGAGCTTCCCTGAGCCGGACGCAG